GTCACAAGGCGTAGAAAGGGTGTGGGTCCCCATGGGCGCATACGGGCGCACTGGATGTCAATGGGTTAACAATAAATTACTGAGTTGTAATTAGCTAATTGCTGGAGGTGGGCAATCCTGCATCCACATTGAAAATTAAACAAGAAGCTGACGGCAGGCAGCCAATATAGACATCATTAATTACATCTCTTTTTTTAATGAGATTTTATAATATTTTTGATGAAGCTTAAACTAAAATCTCCCTGATACTAACAAAGGCATTTCTATAATACCATGACTCCATTTTTGTGATCCAAAGTTCCTCTTCCCCAGAAGTATCCATCCTGGACACGCCCTTCAAAGGGGGGCACATCCCATGATTCATTGGTGGCAGGTACTACATCAAAGTGACCAGCAATCAGATAGGGCTTTAAGGATGTATTACTTCCTTTTATGGAAATTAACAAACTGTAGTTTCCAATTACTCTAGGTTCAACAAGGGGATGGCTAAACACATCAGAAAACTCTGCAAGAAATAGATAAAAATCATTCCTTGTCATCAAATTTGTGTTATACTTGTCTTCACATAATTTTTCTGAGCTTTCATAGATCAGCATAAATCTACAAAATTCAAGTCCCATACCGACAATTATCTTTTTCCACTTGGGAAATGTTGGACCACTTGAATTCAATCATTACCAAGAAAGACATAAATCATAAAATAGTTTTCACATAAACATACATTATTTTTTTAAGTATTGTTCCATTTTGCTTGTCTTTCCCAATAAGTATTTATATCTCTGCATCAGAGAGGGCAATTTCCCAGTCTTGCTTTGCCATACCATAAGCCCTTTTTCATATCATGCACAACAGTTCTCAGATAAAATTAGAAGGCATAAGGCAACAGAAACCTTCCTACTGTCAGATCATTTTTGATTTTTCAGCTTCTTAGCAAGTTGTGATCTAAGGGCTGACTCTAACATTAATATGTGGCTATGCCAGATCATCATACATCTATAGGAATTCATAATGATATCCCTGCAGAGTAGTTAGGAATTCATAATGAAATCTTTACGAACCACGAAATGGCAAACAAGAGAGAAGTACTTATGAGTGACACTTAAATTCAATTCCGCTATTTCATACTCGCTGTCTTCGAATTCACATTTCAAAACTGACACATCATCATCATCACCATCACCATCTTTTATTTGTTTGGGCAGGTTGAGTTTATAGCAGCAATTTGCTGATGTGGACCTGCTATCTTCCCCATCCCACCCCAGGGGAGGACATGCACCACACAGTAATCTCGTGCGTAGGAAGTTAACGTCTCCTACCCCTAACCCTGCAGGAGACGGGGCCTACGGTTTATTCGTCCTTATCTGAGAAGACTATAATTTCTATCCATTCCTTGATATTATAGAAAGGCAGCAGATTCTCCTTAGTTATTTTAAGACCATGAGTAATTTGGTCCGGCCGGGGCTTGAACCCTCGACCTCCCGCACAATACAATCCAGCGCTCTAACCAATTCGCTGCAGTAAATCCTTGAAATCAGCCGAAACTTGAAAGGTTTTCCCTGAGGAGAAAACAGAAAAAGTAACTCATTGTAAATCTTGCTCATATAACCCTCACCTTTCAGAATAAACTGAAGGAAATTGTACAACTCTTCCCGATTGTAATTTCCAACGTTCCAGGAAACCGTTTGAAATGATAGCGCAGTTTGAAACCTTCTCTTCACGTCCTCATCTGCATTGATATAATCTAAATCACTTGGTCTGCATGGGTAGGCAGCTGTTGGCTGATGAGAATACATCACAGTTCTTGCGATAACTATTAGGATGACCGTACCAAGGGCTGTCACAAGTAGGTATGAAAGTTCGCGAACGCCCGCCATGTTCACCTTATGTGTCAGGCGTTCCTGTTAAGTCACGCAATCCAACTAGAGCCCAATTTTACGCTCGAAAAAAATAGAAGGGGACTGGGGTAGAGGCATAAGCATCCCATTCTGAAATTTCATTCTAAAGGAAGAATGATTGCAAAGAAAGTTAAAAGAAATAAAATCAAAAGGATTTGTGAGCCATCAATTGATCTTAACAAATTACACGGTATTCTATCGCGATTAACTTACATTTAAATTCAAAACAGATCACTTTTTGGTACAATGAATATATGAAGTTCACATATTTTGAACTGCGGTATTAATACCGCAGTTCAAAATATATGAACTTCATATATTCATTGTGTCTGATTTATCATCACGGGTTTATTACGAATCAACTTAACGGCCTGCTCCCAGTTGGCTTGTTAGCTCAATTGGTAGAGCGCTGTACTAGTATCGCAGAGGTCAGTGGTTCGAATCCCGTACAGGCCTGATTTTTTTCAGGTCTGATTTTCGCTACTGCATAAATAGCGCCCTCTACTGCGAAGATCTTGCATCAGACAGATCACCTTTTCTTTGTAATTTCATCTGATTTCCTATTAACATGAGCTTTGGTTCACAAGTGATGCGGTGTTCTTTTGAATGTTCTTGCCTTTGTGAGCTTAGATTGTCATGGTTGTTGGCTCTTATTACAAATTCCATTCTTCTACTGATCTTCATCATGTTGCTAATAACAGATTGGATACGGTATTACATCGTTACATTATCTTTTCGTATTATTTTGTTTGTTTACTTGTTTATTTTTGGAGCTTGCTTTTTATGAGCTTAAACTACCGACGATTCAAAAGGAACAAAGCTCTATTTCCGTCATTATCTATTGCCTTGTGGGGAGGGGGATGGAGGCCAGGACTTTGGTTGTGTCACAATACAATTTACTGATCCTCCCCCCCCCCGCCCCTCCCCCCAGCCCAAGGCTCTGTGGTATTCCCATGATCCCCTTCATTAGCAGCTAATTTTCCATATTTCCCCTTTATACCCTCTAAGAGACGACTGATCCCCCTCTTGGCCCCTGTTCCCCCTGAAAACCATTTGATCCCCTCCGACCCCTCCCTAAGGTGATGAGTAATGTCTGGTTTTTTCGGGCTTGATTGGTATTAAGATTTTAAGTGACCTATGTCTTAAAGCTTCTAGCTTCTTTTCAATCAACAAGCAAGCGAAATGATATTCATCTCACCTACACTGCAAATACCTCATCTAAGTTTCCTTCTGTTTCAGGGTGTATCCTTCAATGTGATGTGTGTCAACCAGGATCTCTATCTGATTATGGCATCTGATAGGGTAGAATTACACATCTCGCGGGGAGAACGCTCAGAACACTCGAGTTTAGGACAAAGTGTAGGTCTTACTTGTGGTGTTTCGTTTTTGTAGTTGTACTTTGCTTTTTCGTGGTATGTTGCAGAGATCGGAACAGCATACACAAAGTTAGTGAAATTCATAACTGCTGCACAACCAAAATTTAAACCGCATCTTTACTGAACCCTATACATATAACTTTTATTTTTACATTTAAACCGTCTGTCGAGTTTTCAACAAGTATCAATAATTCTTGAAACTTGAATCTCCAGCAGTCATTTACAAACGGTTGCACTTAAATTTCAGTTAATATCTTCCTACAGTTTTTTTGCTGAGGAAACTTTTGCTAATATCTGACAATATTCAAATTTATCTACTCACGCCTACATCTTTAGTATCTAGTATCTACGTTTGCATTGACCATCGAAGAAAACGAGAGACAAAAGAAGAGAAAGAGCAATTGTTATAAGTAGATGAATTCTGGTGTCAAGTTTGACTTCAGTTGTAGCCTCAGGGCCTTCGGGATAAATTATTCTGATTGAGCAGGATTGGCGACACGCTGCTGAGAATAGCCATAACAAAAATAACCTCCTTGTTCAAGGGTGAAACATTCAAAATAATGTGCCAAATTAAAATGGTGCCGTATTTGCTGCTTTCGTGCTTTTCGGCGCGTAACAATCAGCGGCAAATTGAATAAATTCATAAACGCCTAGACAGATGGCAAGCAAATTAACATTGGGTTTCTTTCAATGCAGCTAAGTTTAAAAGCGACGGTGAGAACTGGAAGTAAACCGATGTCAAATCTCGATGATTTAAAAATGCTTTCTTTTCGCAATCGACGCCTCCGTCATTTTTGATATCGTCAAACGAACGTTTAATTTCTAAGGATGATACTTTATCAGCTGTGGGTTGCGAGTTTTTTCTCGGCACCAAATCCATTGATTCGGTCGTGTCGCCAATCATTTCATTTGGTGAAAATGACAAATCATCTGTCGCAGGTTGTGTAGTCTTCATAATGAGTTGTTCGTTCAAGGGCTGCGCATTCGGTGTCTCTACTATACCAAAACGCCTGATTCTGACCATTCCATGTTCTTGAGCTGGTTTAAATGAAGGTTCCTCGTTAATCTTTTCAAGTCTAGGTTGTGACTGCAGCTTAATAAATCTAAAGGAATCGTCCAATTGAACTGAGCCGGGGTTATTCCTGTTTGTAGTTCCTGATAGGGTCTTGTCCGGGTCGTTGGCAAATCCCTCTCTAAGGAAAGAAATCTTCCTTGACGCTTTTCGATGGGAACTTTCTGGACTGTTAGAAATTGAGTGCTTGTAAAGTCTCTGATTTTCCTTGAGCTCCAAAGGGCCGCCATTGTCACTTCTCGATCGGCTCAATTTTCGCCAAACAAAAGAAAAGGATTCGCTAATAGAGCTGATCTTTCGTAAATAACTCAGTTCACTTCTATCCACAGAGTCGTCAAACGACCCATCTTGTTTACGTTTACATAAGCTGGTAAGTATTCTCCTGAACCCCCTTTTGAAATCCCTGCTGAATATCCAGTAGATAACGGGGTTGAAAATACTGTTAGTGTACGTGAACATTCTACAGATGATTCCGACTATTTGTGAGTGATCTTGGTTCAGTCCGTCACCAAAATCTGACCAGAGCCAGAAAATCTCGTTTGGTAACCTGCAAGTGGCGAAGACTATGACGACCGTCACGAACATTTTGGTCGCTCGAATATTCTGATTAGCTTTTCCCAGCAAACTGTTATGTCTCTGACCTATCGTTACTCGGCTTGCTTTACGCTGAAAATCCATTTGGCGGTTGTTATAGTTTCCAACTACGTTCACTTGACTTGGACGTTGTTGAACTTTCTCAAACATGTTTGCACTTGAGCGCAAGTTGGACAGAGTCATGGTGTACATCACGCTCATGAACGCTAAGGGAATTCCGTACTGGCCAATAAAAAGAGCCAGTGTGTACACCTGCCTGTAGTGAAACGCTGGCCATGTTTCTTCGCAAGACTTGGTGGACCCTTCGCCCACCAAATTCAGGTAATAAATGTAAGGTACCACAAACAACAGAGCCACAAAATGCATGATCACTATAGAACATTTTACTTGCTTGGAACTGAGTCTTTGCTTAAAAGGATGCATAATAACTCGGTAACGATCCAATGAAATGATGGCCAGTGTCAGTGATGCAGAAATGGCAGACAAAGTTGCAAGTGGCCAAAGAGTTTTGCAAAGGATTCTTCCAAAGGGCCAAATGTAGCCTTTTTCCTCCAGTGCCAGGTCAAATGGAATGCTGGCCAGAGGGGTTATTAAATCGCAAACTGCAAGGTTGAGAATGAGCAGATTTGAGGGGTTCCTCATTCGTTTCATCTTGCAGATGACGATAATAACCAGAGTATTCCCAAGAAGACACAAAAGAAGAATGAGAGAGTACATCGTGATTTTGAAAACCTTGAACGAAAGAGTTTCCTTGTTGCTATCTTCTGTCGAATTTAGGTTGACCGCCATTTTTTAAATGGCAATGTATAGTAGGGTCTTTGTGGATTCAACGTCACATACCCGTTGTAAGTTTTGCCGAATTCCAGTATTTGCTTACAGGTGAAGAAAGCTAGGAATTCTATTGTGCACGATTGGATATGCGTGACAGGAAAGCTTAGCGTCCACAAGTGCCTCGTTGATCACACGAGATGAACACTTTAAACAGGAAGTGGAGTGGGTAACACATCCAGAAGAAATGGCGCTTCTGTGATCAGCCTAAAGCGTGGAAGAAGAAAACACATTGTTAAAAGATTGAATGCATCTTGTTTTGACAGAGATTTATTATCATTGTCGAGGCCAAGTGCCACGATGATAAGGTATGTATATGACGTTTAGAGTACTGGTAATTAGCGATACGATACAAGGCATTTGATTTGCTCTTGCGAAGACTTTAGTCTTTGCTCCCAGCGGGACAAACTCAATTCAAAGACAGCAAAACGTTTTACATGTGGTTCGGATGAAAAGGTTACAACTGAGGGCTTTTCTTATGTTTCGTCTGAAATCTGAATACTTCAGTTGAACACCGAGTCATTTACAAGTGGGTGTTTCTTGCCCTCTCGAGAGGGGCATACCTTCTTCAAATAAAGATTTGTATCTCGAATAACCTATCAAATAAAATATGTACCTCGGGTCATCTTAGTTTTAGTTTTTAATAGCTGTATCATTTAACGGGCGCCTTTGGTGCGTGAATTTGGCCATGCTTAGAGAATGAATTGCATCTGTTTTCTAAATGATGGATATAAAAAATAGCTAAATTATTGATTTTTGTTTTGGCTTTAACGTTGGTAAAACAGATTTATATGCACGACTTATCTGGCATTGATCCTTATTATATTTATTTTATGAGCTGCGGATTGTCATGTGGCCTTCAGAAGTTAAATTTACATTTTACAAGCTATTTAGAAAACTCTCTTCTCAGTGATCTTCGAAATACGACTCTGCGGCCATCGTTAAGTCGGTGCAACTCCAAATTTTCTTTTCAGGATTCATTCAACCGCAAAAAATAAAAGGTATACTTACTTGCAAATAAAATATCTTCCGGAACATTCCATCGACGTCACTGTCAGTGCTCATCCGATAGGTTTCTCTCATCTGTTGGTGTATTTTTGTTTCGCCAATAGAATCAAATCATAATTTATTTTATAGCAATAAAACAAATAGAAGTAGGCGACTTCTGGACATTGATGGCGGCCAACGAGGCTTTATTTTAATTTTCGGAATGAAGAATATTCTACGATAACGTTGTCGGTGTGAATTGACAGAATCAAGCCCCAAACCTTAAAAAAAAAAAAAAAAAGAAAAGAAAGAAAGAAAACAGAAAACATTTTAAAAGCTTAGGAAGCAGGGGGAGGGTAAAATTCCCACGCGCCCAAGAAAACAACCAAATAGGTATCTCGTTTATGCGAAAATGTAAACAAACTATTTTCTGTGAAAAAGAAGATACTCTGATTTTGAGTGAAATGTTTTTATTTCAGAAGGAACGATCGAAAACCACAGAACAGCTGAGTCAAAAGGGTAGAAAAACAAAAAACCAGAACAGAGTGGCCTATGAACGTTTCAGCAAAGGTCGCATCAAATCGTTTCTACTTCCTCTGCGATGATGTGTCCAGTAGAAAACAATGAAAAAACGACATAACCCTGTCCACTTTGATATTATATATTATATATATTGCCATTCTGTTCCCTACACATATGGCAAATTTCTTCCTCCAATGGTACAAAAATAAATTCCGCTTGGTATTTTTTCCAAATAACTGTTTCGATTTGTCAATTTTTACCCCTAATGCCTATCGCTGTTTTATGGGTAACGGCTAACTGCATTGACACCCTCTGCAAACAAAAGATACATTTCTAAAGAGCCTGAGAATTCCAAAGGGACCATTTTCTACCCAGCTGGCGAGGGAAAAATGACCAAAATAAGTAGATAAGAAATGAATAGATAGATAATCCCTAGGATTGGATTGACATATTTTCTTTAACATTAACATACTGGCGTTCGTCAGTTCTATCATTCGGTCAGATTGCCCGCTTCATGAATCAGGCTTTTGATAAAAAAAAAAACAACAACAACAAAAGTACCTTTGCTGCTATTTCATGATTTATGTTTCAAATTTTGTAATTAGGTAAAAGTTTTCTTCGTTGTTGTAGTTGTAAAAAGCAGTGTTGTTTATGTCCCCTTCTGCGAGTCCGTCCGCTTTACCGACTTTTTGCGTGATACGATCGCGCAGCGAAAGTTGCCTGCGGCTAAAATTGGACGCCTTTTTGATAACTTCGATGAGCCCTGTGTAAAACAAAAAAAAAAACTGCTATCTAAGTTTTTCTTCCAAAAGGGTGATAAAAGTTCCTAATTCAGTTATTTTTATCTTGCTCGTATCCGGAAGGCAAAGATCTTTAATGGGCATCAGATGGGAGTTGTTTTATTTTTAGCTACACTTGTTCAACGAAGGAAATGTTACCATGAACACTGCCTTTCAAACGACCTTTAAGAGTTTTATTATGCAGGAAATAACAGCATTGTCCCCTCAAGAAGGAATCGCTAACGCAATATAAAAGAAAGAACTCAGGAACTAGAGAAAAGCGTAGAGCGTATNNNNATGAGTCACTTTACTAGGTAAGTTGTACCCCCCACTACCCTCACGCTTTTATCCCGGTGGTCATGTCTGGGTGGTCGGCCATGAAACAGTTGACCACAAGTCATTGCGATAAATCTTCGTCATGCGTAACACTCGTTAGAGTAGCTAGGGAAAATTGGCTGATGTTCTCTTCTAATTCATAGAACATTTCCCTGGCCGGCATCAGTGAACGATTTCAAATATTTGTTACCAGAAACTTTAAAACCTTAAAAATGATGTTAAAGCTTCAGAATAGCTGTACGTGTTAAATTAATTATTTTTTTCAAGAATCGAATCTAACAGTAAAACCACGGCAAACCTGGTTTGTTTCTTTGTTTCTTTGTTTTTTTTTTTTTAATCAGTTAACACATATTTTGTTCTATTATGCCAACCGGTGTTTACTTAAAATAATTGACATGCAAATTAGTACGCATTCAATATACGAAAAGAAGGTTTGGGTTCGTTGGCGAAAAAAAATTTGTCAGCTATACGAATAAAAACTGTATGAAAAACATTTTGCACTCATAAACAGTAAAACATTTAAGAAATTTGTAGAAATCGGCTTTCATTTCGGCTTTCATCTGCTTTCACATGATTTTTTTTTATCTAGATTTGCAAACACATTGGAACCTAGTGTTTCAAATTGGACCTGGATAATGAATAACATTGGGTTCTTAACAAAACTCATGCATTTCTACTTCATACGTCTCGGTTATACATCTAGAAAAAAAAAAACTGTTCTGACCCTATAAGAAATAAAAGGAAAAGTAAAGGAAAATAAATAGATACTGAGCAAAGAAAATTTAACCAAAAACATTTTTAAAAAAAATAGAGACGGATATATCCAGAATACTTTCTTTGCGTGGTACGCATACCAAGAATTCTCGATCATAGCTGTAAATTAATCAGTCACTTAATACCTTGGACAGATTTTAAGAATGAGATTTGAATAAAATCGCTGTTGCGAGTATATTCATTGGTTTATCGTCAAGTATTGAAGCGATTCAAATTTCATTTCTATTTTTTAAAGATAAGTCGCTGTTGAAAAAAAAAAAAAGATCATCGTTTTCATTAGTCTCAGGTAGATGATATGATTTCTGCTGCTTTGTACTACGAGAATATATTTGCGGCCAAGCGCGACTCATTTTGCGCAACAAACTTGTTCCTAAATTTTTTTTTTTTTTAATGACAAATTTACCCAGCTCTCAAAGTGAGGCTTCGTAGCTCAATTGGTAGTAGATCCTAACAAGATTTGATAAACAGTTTACAATCTCTTGTACCAAAGCAGTATCTGGGAGCCCGCTGGGCCTAAGCTTTTAAAAGCTTTGTCATTGCAATTGCTTAAAATGCAGCCACTTGCGAAGATCATTGCTTTTCCAAGAAAATAAGACAATTACCTGCGTTCTTTCTTTCCTTCTTGTTCATCACTGTTTGTTTTGGCTTTTTTTTTTTTACTTCTACGAGAAGCTCACTTGTATCTCGGGTAGGAAATGGCTGCTAATCGTTTTAAACTTTGGCTTTGTACGTCAAATCCATTCATCACCTACAATTATTCTCAAGCGTAAATGCGCTTAAGGATAACACCCTGTTTCCAAGGGTGCGCTACCTTAAAAATCGACCTCATATTGCACGCGAGGGCTCACAGATCAGATCATGGATACATTTAAAATCCAAACCTCGAAGTGTTTTTTAAAGAGTTTCAGGTTTGTAGATCTACCAGCTAAATTAATTAGTTTAAGTCACAGGCCAATAAGTTGTCTTCTGTCAAAGATTATAAACGTACTTATCAACAAAGCATTTCAATTAAATTTTTCTGTAGATCGTTGCGTTGATTTCGCGTAAATCCGTCTCATCTGTAGCCCTCATGTTTCTCCATTCTGTCCGAACAGCTCTGGAGAAAAAATTTCTGAAATACAACCTGTTAAATTCACCCGTAAGTTCCTCTGTAGCCACGCGGAAAACTGTTAATTATTGAGCAGTTTTTAGCTTTCTTGGCGAAGATCTCTGATATTTTCACGGGATACGCCGCATTAATTTTCTACATGTCATTCTCGCCCTCCTTGGAGTTGTACATTCTCACAATTTCCGTCGCGATAACGGCCGCGGGTTATTACGTCCGAAGCCCCGAGGTCCTGTTAGGAATTTCAAGATCTTATGCGCAGATGCACCGCTGTTGATGACGGCCACTTCACATCGAAGGAAAACATGGCTTTCAAGAACGTGTAACAACGTACACTGAAATCACCAGCCCTGTGTCATGAAGATTTCAGTGGTATGATGGGAACAGACGTTAAAGACGGATAAAGCTCATTTATCATGCTAATACATTTTGAAGAAGCCGGGTGAAAGATTTCATTACTGTAGCTCGCACTCGTCAAGCAGGATCAAATACGTTGAAATCTGCAGATGTTGTACTTCCTAACACAGACAACATTTTTGTCGTAAAGATGGATTCTAACATAACATCCAATGCAAGTGTAACAACACTTTTTCCTTTCTATTCCAGCCAAGTGAGTTATGTTACTGATGCAATAAATGCGAGCCATGTAAACGTTTCTACAGACTACCCTAATACGGCGCAATCGCTCGACTTTTGGATCGTAAAGCTTGTCCTTTATGGCGTCATTCTGCTCGGAAGCTCCGTGGGGAACAGCCTTGTAATTTACATCATCGTCAGCAACGTCCGAATGAGAACAGCCTCCAACTATTTAATAATGAACCTGGCGCTGTGTGATTTTGTCACGCCAGTTTTCAGCATTCCTTTTGATTTCTTTCTTGAGGAATACAACTACATCTGGATGTATGGCGCAGCTATGTGCAAAATCCTGTGGCCTTTGACAACAATGTCTTCTACTTCGGCTGCGTTAACCCTAGCCGCAATCTCGCTCGATCGCTATCGCGTTATAATGCACCCATTTCGACCACGTTTGACGATGTTCAAGATCAAATGCATAATTGCCGCAGTTTACGTGTTTTCACTGTTGATGGTCGCTCCGTATTCGTATGTCCTTATTCTGAAAGGAAATGAATGCCGCGAAATATGGCCTGATATCTCCTTCAAGAAGTATTATACCTTGGGTCTTTTCCTTGTGCAATATTGCATGCCTTTGATTTTTATGGTGTTCATGTATTCGCTTGCGCTGAAAAATTTGTACACTAGCGCAGACAAGACCAGCGGCCAGAAAGCCGAGCAAGAACAGGCTGCCGTCAGCCGAAAAGTCAGTCGGACATCAACGAACTCGCGATCGTCAGCAGCCGAAGCTGAACCGAAATTGAAAAAGGTGTCGTCCACGGTGCGTTTGGTGCGTAAATTCTCATCCACTGTCAGGAGAGGGAAGACAGAAGCAAATAAAAGAGCAACTAAGATGTTTATGGCCATAGTAGGAGTTTTTACCATCTGCATGTTCCCCAATCAAGCACTTTGGTTATGGGCGGACTTCTATAATGAGGGGCAGAATCCAAGATTCTTGAACGCAGTGATAATCTGTTGGCTTTTCACGTATGCCAACAGTGTCTGTAACCCGGTCATTTACGCTGTTTTTAGCCGGGACTTTCGCCGAGGTTTTAAAAGAGCTTTTAGAAAAGCGTTCTGTTTACATCGATACAAAAACCGACAAGTATATAAAACAGACATGGTCGAAACGCTGACAACAGAGCTGAAATGCGTAGCTTCTGGAGAGACTGAGAAACGAAAGAGAAAAAATGCTACTGTGCAACGACCTAAGCTTTATCTTTTGTGATCGCTGTGATCTTTTGTAAATGAATAAGTTTCAGAAATAACAGTAGCATATAAAAAAATGCGGAATATCTTAAATGCGAGGGAAGCAAAGATCGCTGTATTGTAGCGAACAAAACCATGCTATGCATTAAAAAAGGAAAGCTTTTTGCTCTACTAAATTCAAGAAAAATTAACAAAAAAGTTTTAGGAAGAAAGACTGCAATGGGACATTTGAAGATAAAAGCTTTGAGCGTAGTAAGGATTTATCTTTGAAATGGACAGCTAATTTGTGGTCATGGCACAAACAGATGTTTAGCTCTTAGTTGGTAACTAACGACGAAATTTACATACTTAAAAAAAAATAGACAGCTTATTATACCCATGGATCATGTTCAATTGCGAGATTTGTATAGTTATCAACTCCCATAGCATAAAACAGTTTCGAATCGAGACAACCCCATGAATGTTTCTTTATCAGGCCCTCCTTGTGGAAGATTTTGAGGATTAATAGAAATTTCAAATCTAGCAAAAGCTTTGCGCTGGGAAGATCTTAGAATTCTTAAAAACGTTTAGATGCTTGTGCCGGTATGGTACCAAAATTAGGAATTTGGAAGTAATATCAACGGTATGTTGCAAATGCAATGTCTAATTTTACTTCCCATCAACTTGAACAGCTTTGCGCTTTCAAGTGTCACTTGAGGTTTCTCCTTAGCTGGTGAAGACAATTAGCTACAATTAATTTCCTGAGAAGAGATCAAGAATGAATAATTGCATTTACCTCCAACGATGTCCGTTTTTTGTGGTATACGTCTTTATGTATTCCGAAGAGAAAGCTCTAATAATTCTGTTTGCTGTCATGTACACTAGTTGAAATAGACAGAACGTCTGCCCTATGAAATATTTCACATTTAAATTATGATCTGCTCTTTCAGACGATTGTCTACTGTAATTGTGGGGCATGTAGCAGCCTAACGGTTACTGCGTTGGGTAGATGCGATATGTTCTTGGGCAAAATACTTTACATGCAGTGCCTCTCTCCGTCCAGAAATGTAAAATGTAAATGGTACCTGCGAATTGTCAGGGAAGCCTGATGAAATGGTGGGGGAGGGGGTTAAGGTTAGCTTGTGATAGAATAGCTTCCCATCCAGGGGGGGGGGTGTAGTTATATTCCTAGTCGCTTAGGAAACTGGGATAATATTCGGCGAGCACAGACAATGATCGCAAGAATAACAATCGTGACGGGAATGGATTCCAAAAAAACCTGGTTCAAGTCTTATTTCCTTGAACCTTTTGCACCATTCACCTTAATTTTATCACACTCTTTGGCCACTCAAGAATCACAACTTTTTGCCATACTCCCTTCTATAGTTCGGTTAATGTAACGAAACACCGTCGTTAACGGCGCGAAAGAAGCGGACAAGTGAAAAGACGAGGGAGGCTTGGGTCGAGGGGTCGGCTACGCAACCCGGCCTGGAACAGGCTGGGACGCTAAGATTCTGGCACTTCGTGCGAGAGTTGTAATGAAAAATCACGTACGTTTGACAAGTCAATCAAACATCGTCACTTTTCTAATCCTTCCTTTGACGTGCGATATTATCGAAGGAGTTAATGGACTTCCATCTTAGAACGATGTTTACCCTGGTACCTGTTCTTCAGATGTTTGCGTTTAAACTGCTTCGCGTGTGCCATGTAAATCATTGAGTAAGGAGAGGCTTTTCACTCCTCGTTTTTACCGAGCGCCGATAAAAATAAAAAACTTTATTTCGTGCAAATTTCTCGCATACGGAAACAATTACTGTTTTCTTAAACTGTGGGAACCAAAAAAAAAACGAATGTTACAGAGCAAACAAAACATCAAATTAGATAGTAAGAAAAGAGTATCTTTAATTTCATATAGATGGCAAGACGTGAAATTTAATGAGTCTTTTAAAGCGGTCTTTTAATATTCGACATTGTCCTTCAACTGTATACTCATAAATGCAATTTAATTATATACAATCCCAGAGTTGCATCGGTCGAAGAAACTTTTTAAGTCATTTTAGCTTTAACGTGGTGACTTTTGAAGGTATATTTTACCTGGTGAATGCGTTAGTTATTTAAAACGACGAACACGCATCGTAGCCTTGAGATGTACGTGTTCATTTTTCGTCGATATTTAAAAAAAAAAAAAAAAAACCGGCTTATCCTTACTAGTATGTTGATTTGACTTTAATTTGTTTAAGGATTGTGATAACAAATTGTTTTTTTTGCATAAGATACATATTTGTGGAGTGAAAACCCTACTCGAGTTTAACCCTTGTGAGAATACCTGCACATACGAAACCACGAGTAAAGAGGTTTAAGGCAAAAGAAAAAAAAGCTTGAGCTTGAGTTGTGTAAAACCGCTTCAAGCCATGGCAATTATGCTTCGTGACATCTGCGGCGCATTTAGGAAAAAAAAAACCTTAAAATTCACATGCCGTTTTCTGTTGTGCTTCAAAGCAAGACTCACCGGTCCTCGAATCTAGCAGTTATTGCTGCTTGAAACATTTTATTGCCTTTCAGAGCAATCGCTTATCTCTGCACGGTAAGACACCCTTCCATTTCACTTTGCGGGGGGTTTTTTTTCTTTTAGAAAATAAGCCTAACTTAAAAATTCACATCTTCATTTAGAAGACCATTCACATGATTAAACGACTCATTGCAAAGACATTATTCTAAGCCTAATTGATATCTTCTGCTAGTTCAATAAGGCAAAATTTCTAAAATTTCTTTCTACTTCTAAGGCAAAATTTTCCATTCTCAGTATAGGTACAATTTCAGACCTCAGTAGATTAGAGATTGAGTTCGCTCCCGGAATACCTTGTTAACCTTCATATTAAAAGCTTGGTTAATTTTAATAAAGTTTAATTTGCTAAGACATTTAAACTATACCACGGCTTTGAAATTGATCTGGGATTAGGGTTTTTAATGAAATTTAAACAAAGAGTCGGTAGTAAGTAATTAAAAGGTTATAAGTTCAATACTAGCTTCTCAAGTAATTATCTATCGCCAGAAAGATTTCTCCCGAGAAACAAAGGTTTTATGTATTCTGCCGCTTTAATTCAAAGGAATAAAATACAAGAACAGTTATTCTTTTTCTGATGTTTTTATACATATTCAAGAGCATAAAATACTAACACACGAGCAGATTTATATTAGGCATAGGTTTTAAATAAACTTCTAAGGAAAGAAAACAGGTTTCCGTCATAGGAGTTGACAGTGCACTTTAAATGAAAGATTTTATCGATAGCTTCTTTAAATTAACCTCTCAGGATTAATGCGCTTTAAAATGTTGCGTGTCGGAAAACAGAATAAGTCAAGCACGTTAAAACATTGAGTGAAACCATGGACAAAAATAGAATTTTGCAATAACTAAAGACTGTCAGTGATATTTGAATCACGTCTTTGCATCACGCAAGGCCGTTTCCAATCGCAGCTTATTTTTTTCAATTTACCGCATAAGAGCCGCAAGGCGGCAACTGCAATTGAACAATTAAATAAGTTAATCTAAGTTTTGGAGTTAATTAAAGAAGCAAAGTTTGAGCTTTCGTTCCTGAATATGCCCGTGAACCAAAGGTCACAAAACGACCTTTTTTAAAGCCTCTAGAAGATTACGAATCAAAAGTGGAATTACCTCTTAGAAATGAAATCGAAGCCCCGAAAACGTAGGCGCGTATTTTGCGTGTGTTGTCTGTCAAATGACCACATTAATTCCAGATTTTTCCTTTAATCTTTTCTTTCTGTAAAAAAAAAATTTCAATTTCAAGGAGGAGATTAAAACCTCCCGTCGTCCGTTTACCCCAAACAGTCTTTTATCGGTTTAAACTAAACTTTAACGATTTGAAAGAAAAACTAAACAGAACTTTTTCCAAACAGAGCTAAACGTCATTTATACACATCACGAGGTGCGGATAAATGACGCCAAGTATTTCCTGTACGGTAAATTGAGTCCCCCGTGTGTTATTGTTGAAAGTATAATCTCTCTTGGCACAAAGTTATTTGTTTTATCGCGCGCGCGCATCTAAGAGCGAAACATTAGACACGCATCGACTCGTGATCCCTCAGTAGTGAGGCTTAGTTGATTCCAGCCAAGTCAACTCGCTAACAGCTGCTTCGATCGTCAACTGGGCTAAAACGAAATCCTTCTCGGCCAATAACAATAAGTTCAAACTTCGAAGAAGTTGAAAGTTCCCCGCGCCTTGGTCAAAGCGCCTTACAGTGAGAAATGAATGGCAGCGAGACAGTCTCAGCTGGACCGAATAGAAGCTTTCCCACTGTATTTCCACATAATGTGCAAGGTGAATCTCAGGCCTTTAGTGTCATAAAGATATTCTTCTATTTCATCATCCTATCCGCCAGCACTTTTGGTAACAGCATGCTTGCTCACATCATCATTCACACGAGAAAGATGCGGACCGCTAGTAACTTCCTGATATTAAACTTAGCCATTTGTGATTTAGTGACGCCGTTGATAAGCATTGTGTTTGATTTTATCCTTGAAGAAAATAATTATGACTGGATTTACGGCGAAGCCATGTGTTCCATACTTTGGCCTACACAGACTTATTTTACTTGCGCGTCTTCGTTAACGCTTGCTGGAATCTCGCTGGATCGCTACAGAATAATCCTTCATCCATTCAAAATTCGCCTCACCAGCAAACAGATTAGTTTGTTAATTTTCCTGGTACATGTATGCTCGCTAGTCGCTGTTGCTCCTTATGGTTATTTCCTCGTGCTGAGAAATGGTTCTTGTGAGGAAAACTGGCCCAAATTTTCCTACAGACAGGCTTACACTTTTTTTTTGTTTCTGGTTCAATACGCAATGCCGCTCGTAATAATGATATTCATGTACACAATGGCTGTTCGAGCACTATGTCAAACTTCAAGGAAAACACGCGACAACTCAATATGTGCAAAAACTCCGCAATTTATCGTCAAGAAGCTTAAACTTGAAGCTAAACAGCAAGAAAAACATCGTGGACTATCTAAATCCCACTACACATTTATCAGACGGCTTGGCAAGCTCAATACAAGAGACATTTGGAAAACTCCTAATGCAAGGGCGACAAAAATGTTCATAGTGATTGTGACTGTCTTCGCAATATTTATGTTCCCCAATCAAATTGTGTGGTTGTGGGCAGATTTCGGTGGAGGGATAAATCATCCAGACTTTACCAAACTTTCCATTATTTGCTGGTTGTTTACATACACCAACAGTGTCGTGAACCCAGTAATTTTTGGTTTATTCAGCAAAGATTTTCGCAAAGGTTTTAGGAGGATTTTTCACAGCCTGCTGCGTTGCGAGAGATTAGTCGGGAAAGAGGATCTTGTAAGATTACGACGTCAAAGTACTAGCAAAACTCGTTCAGAAACGACGGAATCACATGGCACAGATTACGGGTCGTGTACAAAAGACAGCAACATGTCCTGTCTTTTTCAAGATGAACAAAAGACACCGATGTTGGGAGGAAAAACTGATCATCAGTTTCACGAAATGTCCCCACCCTTAGCTCAACCAAATTTCGCTTCGAACAGAACCGCGATAAAATATTTCAGCAAACAGATGGTACCAAACCCGTTAAAAGCTTTTGAGCTCGAAGATGCAACTCGTCACTCCAGTGGCCTTCTTAGAGAAAATTATGTTGAACAATGGGGTACTTTGTCTAATTCAGAGTCTTACATTGAAACTTTGACTGATGCGCTGAACAGCTCGCCGGAAACTAACTGTTAGAGGGTCACCGCAAGACTGATGAACACACAAAGGGTCAGACTTTTCCATCACAAGGTCATTTTTGAGTCCCGACGAGGTTTCCTACGTATTGTAGAATCGCCATTGGGCGTATAGTTCACGCTGGGCTCCTTTCAACAGAGTTCTAGAAAGAACAATTAATGCAGTTTATACTCAAAGTTTTCTACGTGAAGCAGCTTTGCATATTGAATCATAAGCTAGCATTTTATTTGTCTGTTGCCTTATTGCTGTTCTGAATCCTTGAGTGTTGCCGGAGAGAGATAGCTCTAAGCTTTACTCTTTATAACTTATCAGCAGCTTATAAAGTAATCACGCAAAACAAAAGTTCAAATTCTAAAACAACTTCTGCGAATTTAAAAAGAGGCCGTGATCTTTGAAGTTCCAAGACAAGCGTTCTTTGTTACGAACGTTTCTCGAGTAATGCTAAATAGCGTCATTTCTGCAAGTTTTGAGAATAATCTTTGCGTCTTTAGTTTGATTCCAAAATCTTTGAGTTCTTTTCCTGTTTATAACTTCCAGCCTCCTACGCATTTCTCAAACAAAGCTTTCCATTACAACTCGTTTGACAAGATTTAACTTACAAACTCCGGAAAAGTGGTTAGGAAGTTGGCGTGTCTTTGTATCCATAAATACATTTTCTAGAATTTCTATCCGGTTTTGTGAAGTATTCTTTCCTCAAAAATTAAAAAACCAAACAATTCGAGTCTAAAAATAATGTATGGAGTTTAAAGAGCAAGTTATTGTATGCCTTAGCCAATGCAACGCGACCCTCTATTACAACAATATATATTTGTCAACTGCTTCTTTGTTAAACAAGTGCGTAGCATTCCCGTAATATGTCTTTGTCAACTCCTTTATGGCTCAAGTGTCTCGCTCAAAAAGCGGTCGTCAGTAGCAGTTTTATCTTTAGAAAGCACCGTCAGTGTGGAATGATTTGTAATATCCAATAAAAAAGGGTGTGGGAAGATTAAATATGTTAAGCCTCAATAAGATCGTGAAAGATGCGTTCGAAAAAAATTCTTTCTTTCTGGGTTAGAATTGATTTTCCGTTTACTCTTAGTTGTTCAACAACAAAATCAAAATAACATAAAGCAAATGAGAAGAAATAAGAGAACACTTGGACACAAAAAGAGAGAGAGTGGATAGTGCTAGGAATTTTCGGCAGGGGTGCTATACTTCGTAAAGTTCTTTCAAAATTAATGCACCCCCTTTTAACGATTAATTTCAAGGCGAGCCTGGTATATGATGTGCTCTTCTGGTGTAAAAGACTTCTGATATTGTAGAAGTATAGTGTTCGTAGATAATTTTGACGTTCTATCCAGCGATTTTCGTTTCCTACAATTATAACACTGTTAAGCATGTTGGAAGTATTTAGAAAGACGTCTGCCCTCTCTGAAATCGATGAGACGGTATTACAGTACAGACACAAGGGATTATTTTGTTGTTTTTTAAGATAACTTTTTATGTACAGGTCGAGTGCGTTTCCTGTTTTAGAAAGTCACGTTCTACTTTTTCGTTCCGTTCTTGCACGAACAAGTTTGTTTTCTATGTGTTTCAATTGCGGTGACTAAGTTTTCCATACCAACCAGTCATGTTGAATGTCAGGGCATTTTGTCTAAAGGAAATCTTTAATTCTACTGTCATCCACTGCTTTTCCATTATATTGAGTATGGGTGCATGTTATGGAGTTTCCGGATCTTTTCTAGGCTACACATCTGCCACAGTTCATGAACAGTATACGTGCATTCCTTCATAGGATGTACTTTGACTGATACGATAATCTTGTTAAATTGGCTTAGCAGCTTTTACCGTTAGAACTGAGAGCAGATCTCAAGGTCGAGAGATAGCATTGCTTTAAGCAAAGAATAGGACTCCGATCCTAAAAAATGCTTTTAGTAGGATTTATCGTTTGTCAAAAGGCCAAGCTCAGTGGGAACTTGTGTGGCGAGTTAGAGATGGTAAATGCCTTTCTCCGCGCAATAAAACACTGGAAGGCGAGACAGTTTAAAGAGAAAATAACTGTATGCCTTAGGCAATGCAACACGACCCGCCATTACAGCATCTATCTTTGTCAACTGCTTCTTTGTTAAACAAGTGCATGGCATTTTCGAACCTTTGTCAACCTTTTGTTACTCAAGTGTCTCGATCAAAAAGCGATCGTCAAGTAGCAGCATTTTCTTCAGAAAGAAGAGACTTCAATCCTAAAAACTGCTTTATCATGATTTATCGTTTGTGAAAAAGGTCGATTGCAACGGGAACTTGTGCGGCGAATCACAGCTGGTAAGTGCCTTTCTTCACGCAAAAACCTGGAAGGCAAGATAATAGTTTTTTTTTTTTTTTTCATCTGTCTGCATGGCCACTGAATTACATGTAGAGCCTATAAAGTTTTTTGTAGTTTAAAACTTTTTAGACGGGCCGACATGACTACTGCAGTTCGTGAAATAATTTCTTAGGTCTCCATCATTCACCACATTTTGGCTGTGTAAACATTACGACTGATTCTAAAATCTGTTCCGGGATTTTCCGTAGAAAATTGGATAAATAAAGAAAGGATTTTATTCTCGAGCTATCTACATGTTATCCTGGAGGTCGGGGCTAAAAATAACGAAAACAAGACGAGTTTAAAAGAAAAATTGCACGTCTAGAGTCTTTCGCGAAGGAAAGATATGGTCAAAATAATAGATTCCGAGATCTGCAAAATTTAACCAAAACCTGTGACACTTTTTCTTTAGGACATTTTACTGAAACTGACAATATGACCTCCATAGTCCTCAGACGGTTCATTGAATCGTTGCCTCGAGGCAGAAAGAAATCTAAAAATAAGGGCTGTGAAGGAACAAAAGCTCTTTCATAGATTCATTCATCGTCAACGCCTTTGACAAGGATACACCAAGGACGAGACAACGGAGATATAACTAAAGCTTGAGTCGATTATAGCGTTAACATTTGATTGGAAGTTATCTATTTGGCTGGATGAACACACTTCTGATAGTACAGGAATATTGCAAGACGAATTTTAACTTGTGAGGTAATTTCACCCTTGACCCACTAACTGGATTTAAAGTGGACGCTTCACAGGTTGAGGCTTTTGTTAACGAGATTACTTTTCGCCATTGCATCCAAAGATTTCCTGCGTTTTTATTTGGACTCGATAAAATTTCGTCTAGTCGAGAAAATATTTTGATTAATGTCCTATTTTAGGTTATTCTGAATTGAGCCAATTATCAATATTTAGCTTAATTAAGCTAGATTACAGCAGCTATGCAACTGTTGACAACTGCATTTAGAGATAACCTGTGACCTCAACTGCAGCCGATGATGTCGAATAGTTTTTTTTTTTTTCATAGCGGTTGCAAGCTTGTTTGCAGCTGAAGAGAGCCGTCAGTATCATGTCTCCAATCAGATCTATTCAAGTGCAGAAATGATCTAGATTCCTGTAGGTAAACAGCCATTCAACCCTAGCGTCAATATGTATATTCTCCATAATGTATTCTATATATCTCCTAAGATGCTGACAAAGAGAATTTGTTTAACAATCAATAGCTTCTCTAGTTGGTGATCACTTCCTTTATTCTCCTGACCTTAATGTGTGACTCAGGAGTGAAGCTGTCAGGTGAAATAAGATGTCAATCACAGAGGCTTAAGTAATTGCCAGAAAGAAGCCCCTTTAAGCCTAAATTTTACCAGACTACTTCATGGAAGTTACCTAAAAATTGCAGTTCAGCGCGTGCGAGGATCATTAATTTCAACGCTAAAATTTTTCTCACAGATCATAATGAAATTTAGTCACCAATAATAATTGTTATCAGATCTATGAAACTACTCTTCTGTTTTGCATCAAATTGTCCAAATTTACGATAAACGAACGAATGGACGGATAAATGAGTCATTAGATAGCTAATTGAATAGATAAATAGTACATGAATCTATAAAGAGTAAAAAGTAGAATAGAAGTACGTTCCTCTTCTCCTAAAAAGAATATGAACAAACAAAAAAACAATTGCACCGCTGTGCCAAAAAGAAACCAACAACAAAAGTTACATACAAAGGCCATGTAAACTGTCGTTTCAAGACGATTTTGTGATAAAAAGTATTGTAATATTCGACGAATTAATAAAGATAGCAATGTTTTCGGCGTGGGTGCGGTGCAAATTATTTTGTTAGGACGATGTAATCATGAAGAATGTCATTAACGCAGTATGAATATTTTTGCTTGTTTCTTCGGGTGGATTTTAGCTATAGCGAGAATCCACTTAAGTTATCACCATAGTTCGGCTTTTTGATGGAAGAGATGGAATGTGGCTCAAATGGTTGATCAAGATTTGCGCAGTGGTATCAGTTTCCTGAAAGTTACGGTCATAAATCTCGTTGTTTTTTTTTAATCTAGAATAACAAAGAAGTAAGGTAAAAAAACGCTATCGTCTGAGAAAATGGTTCTGCTCGTTTTCCAGTGGCCTGTTACAGATCTTTCAGTTAATAAAGCGAAGCAGAGTAGAAAGCCGGAACGACTTTAGTAGCGGAGGAGCAGAGCAGTGGCCCGAGTCGGGTAGTGCAATAACTGACGTATCTACGCGACCCGACCCGGGCCTCTCTCGTTTTCGCTCTTCAGCTACGATTGCTCGTCTACCATTCCGTTCCCTTTTACTAACTAAACGCGCTAGTTTTCCAGTGGTGCGCAAATTTTCCAAACGCTTATGAATGAACACAATAGATGATGGATATATCTTGCCTCGCATTTAAGTGCGTAAAGTAGAGTGAAGACAATTAATCATAATCACGAGTCTGCAAAGAAAGTTAATCGTGATTTCTAAGGCGTGAAATTTCATGAACGTTTTCTCGGCACGGATGTTATTGGCTTTACATCATAAGTTATATGGGAAAAACCATAAAGAGACCGCGTCTACGGAAAAACCAGGACGGATTTTTCCATGTAATACGGATTCATTTTATGGGATTTATGTATTCAAAATAAAATACAGACAGTCTGTAGACAGCTCGCGTCAGTGAACAAGGTGGATGTGGCCTGAGACACGGACGCGAACTCTTCGAACATTCTATCATATGTACGCAAGGCTGAGAAAGTTATGCCCGCTATCTGCATAGGAATTACGCTCTGGAGGGAACTCTCGTTAAACAACCTATGTTATATGTTCAAGACAACGCAAAGAAAATAAATTTAAAGCTTATTAACGTTCTTGAAATTATACGACAGCGAAAATCACGACCAGCTCTGAGCCACATAACATCTTCTCCGCAGACACATGTTGTCTAGACATAGTTGACGCGCGTGAAATTGCGCGACAGTGAAAATTCCGACTTGAGAGTAAATGTTTCCCATATTTGAGCTGAGTTGATATAAATAGTGCCCTCCCAAGTATAGAAATTACTTGTGTCTCGCCATGCATTTTGATTCAAAGATCACTCACTGATTCAAGTACACTTCAAATAGAATTGCTATCTCTTAATTTTGTAGCAAATGTCCTTATTCTTAAAATCATGCTAAACGCATGGTAATGTTAATATTTCCGGTCTAGTCCCGCCCTGAATAAATGAGGCGCATTCTTCGAGCTAATAAAATTGTATTTTAGAATGCGCTTATGACAAATATTCTGGGAAAGTTTCAAACCTAATCGTCAGTTTCAGTACTGACGAGTGACAACAGATGCTTGAAGTAGACAAGAAAAGAAATATTTATGCGTTTATCAAAATTGGTGCGCACGACTTGAAACTTTTAAATGCATTCTTGCATAACAACTCTCAGCAGATTATGGAATATTTCTAGGTATTGAAAACGTTTATGGTCTTACCTAACAACTTATAGCCTGTGTATAGCCGCCCCATCAGGGGATGGGGCGGCTTTACGCAGGTTAAACATTCATGAACGTTTTCTTCGCTCCGACGAAGGGCTAACGCTCGAAACGTCAGCTTTTGTAATCATTACGGTGGCCAATTTACCATTTCAACTTTGTTGGTATATCCAAATTATTTCATTACTCCCACCGACGCAGCCCCAAACAGTTTCTTTCGAAACTATCAGCCTTTAAACAACTTAAACCTTCTTGCCAGTCGAGGGCAGTTAAAAGATTTTGTCTTTTTTTCTCTTTTTTGTTTATCTATAAAAGTGGCTTTAAATACTGACACGGCAACAGTGTTGTCGTAATAACATTATTACGTTTCTACCAGCGTTTATGTTTAAGCCCGAGGGGGATGGGGACCCCGAGAAAAAGTTTAGTTAAAATTCCAACCCTCAGGCCCTTAGAAATGAGTAAAAACAGATCAAAAGTTGAAAATGATATCCGTTAAATAAACAGATTTGTTGTGTTTGATACGTGACTGGTTAATATGATTTTCCAAGTTTTGAGAATTTTATTGCGTGTTTTCCAGGATGGCCCCATAGAGCACTTGTGATTTGACAGCATTCCTCCTTGAAAAAAAAAAACAATCTTCCCTATCCTGGGGCCCAGACTTTTAATCAAATTTCTGAGGGAAATAGAGATCAAGGGTTCCACGTATGCGAGAGGTCCCTTCTCCTCCCTTGGGCTAAAAATTGATGGATGCATCACATGAAAATTGACAGTGGCAGCCCATAAATTTTACAACGACTTATAGATTCTATAAAACGTGTGCCGATCATTTCTTCCAGAAAACGTGCCCAATCCTTTCTATCAAAACAGTTTAAAATTTTTTTACATCGCACCTTTTAATGCCAAAAAAAAAATGAATATATGAAAAAACTTTCAGTTATTAGATATGCTAGCTATTTTAGTTATGAATTGAGTTCTCTGCGCTTAAGAATTGAACTGTCCCATGCGACGCCATGAAGAAGACTGCAGAGCTGTTTATTATTAAATCTTGGATTGAGAAGACCATTCACTTTATATTCCTTGATGACCACATTACGAAGTTAAGATGCAAATTTCATGTCTTGTTTTTCTTTTGATAGGGTCTAAACGTGAGTCTTTAAAAAGAATCCGAAAGCTGCCTAGGTAATCTTGCTTGTTTTTCACACTTTCAAGGAAAATAAAAAACATCATGATTTTTATTATCAACGTTATTATCATTGTTATAATCATTATTATTATTGTTATCATTATTATTGATATCTCTTTCATATATGATATGTTGTATGAGGCCCAGAGTTGATCTTACATCGAGATCGACCAAAGTGAGACGCATGCTTGCTCCGTAGCCGAGTGGCAATAATTTAAATGTTTTTTTTTTTTCTCTGTTTTTGTTTTCATTGGTCCCAAGCCAATGTCGCACTAATGATCACATAACACTTTAAAACATACTTGGAAAGGATGCATCAATAAAACGAGGGCGAGAAAAAAAAAAAAACATTTACACTCCTATTATATTACCCTTGTCGCGACCAATTTGTCTTGCCGACAATTCTGGGATCGTTGTAAGCTTGAATGTTGAACTTAGCTAACTACACGATGTTGTCAAACAAAGGACGTTTGCAAAATATCAGTTTGTAATCACTGTGCTGATTTACGTAGATAAAATGAATTGCATGTAAATCAACAACTGTTTAGGAAGCGATTTATTACTTTTTATAAAATGCACACCAGATGAACATAAATAAACCGAAGGACAAGCCCAAGGGCATTCACGTCAACAATTCGTTTCGGAAAAATTCCGAAGTACATCGTGTAGCGCTGAAGGCTTTAATGTCTCCGAGATCATTCTTGTATCATTGATAGAGCATGCATTTTCAAATTTAATTAGAGGATTAAAACAGTGTTTGTGAGCATTTTCGAGTGGAAGTTCCTTTGCCATCCCAAGCATATCGAACAGGATAGTTGTGTAAAAGCATTGGTCGACTCGGTCCTGCTACATTTAGAGAAAATCATACAATTTACACTTCATAACATGGATGCTTTCTGATACGTTTTTTAGTAGATTGGAAAATATTTGTTGATTCATAATGCAGGCCCTATTGCTCTGTCACTTGTGTAATCCCGAAGTGCAAAAGATTTCGCAGGATCTGGGTTTGAACTATGTAAATTGGCGTTCCTACTGACTTTGCGTACACATTTCCTAGTTTCGTTGCTAATCTTTCTCAAGGGCTTTATGGTAGTGCGGCCAATCCTTGCAAACCCAGACCTGAATTCCTTGTTTTTCAAGGCATAAATGAACGGATTTAACACACTATTAGCGTAAGTAAAAAGACGACACACTACAGAAATGTAATGAAAAAATCTTTCGTCTGCGCCATTTCCAAAGTCCACCCAAAGCCAGAGAACTTGGTTCGGGAACATGCTGATGGCGAAGACAACCACAACAAGAACGAACATCTTTGCCAAGCGAATGTTTTGCTCTTTCCTTTTAAACTCAATACTTTTATTACTAAAGGTGGATGACTGTCTTTTGAAGGAGTTTTTACTTTGTGTATCTGTGGAGAACAGTCTCTCAGTACTTTCCCGCAAACTGCGATGTATGAGAGAGTATGTTACAGACATTGTCATCAAAGGTAAGGCGTACTGGAACAGAAACAGCACAACTGTGTACGCTTGTCTGTGGCAAAAACTTGGCCAGCTCTCGTCCCAAGAGTTTTCTTTATCAGTGAGATCCAAAGCGATGAAATAAGGAACACACAAGCCAATTGAAAAAGCCTGAATAGAGGATACGATGAGCAACATCCTCTTCATCGAGAGACGTTTTGCAAACGGGTTCAAGAGAGTTCTGAGCCTATCTAAGCTGACAACTGCGAGGGTCAGTGAGGAGGAAGTTGAAAACGCCGTCTGGAATGGCCACAGAACTTTGCAAAAAGCTCTTCCAAATGGCCAAATGTAGTTCGTTTCTTCTAGCGCCAAATCAAACGGAATGCTCAGAGCTGGTGTGATGAGGTCGCATAATGCTAAGTTCAGAATCAACAGATTTGCTGGTGTCCTTTTCTCTTTTGCCCTCAAGATGACAGCTACGACCAAACTGTTGCCGATACCACTTAAAACGAAGATTAAAACGTACAGTAAAACCTTTACCACTCGAAACTCTAGATATTCCAAGTTGGATACTTCATCAGACATATTACTCTCTCTTGCGCTTTCATTTACAGCCATTTTCAAATGATCCACTGGAAAAAAAATGTTGCAGTTGTGGTTGCTACGTGTCCTTTTTTGAGTTAATGAGACAATTAAGAAAGACTGCCAATCGACGCGACGCGTGATCGCTGTTCGCTACTAAAGGTTCTGATGGAACAACAAGAGACTTGCAATTTAAATTCATAGTCTATTCATGGTCTCGGTGATTGCCCACCGACGCATGTAGCAGTCATGTCCGTACCTTGAGATCGCTAAACGTAACATGCTTAATTAAATCAATTAACTTTATACGGTCGTTGTTCCTGTAGTACACAAAAACCACACAGTTGCTATTTTTAGAACAGACAGGTGCCAATACAAAAATACAAAGAGATGTAAACAATGCTTAAACAACAAAGAGATCTCAACAAACAGAAAAACAGATTAGCAGAAAGTGGCCCTCCAAACAATTTGGTGGCGAAGGAAGGAAAGTTCTGCTCAGTTGCTTTTACAATTAAAGATGAATCAACAAATAATTAAAGAGCACTAAAAACGTCACTTGTCTGAAAAGTACGTGGGGGACATCTTTAAGGCGGCTTTTGTAGACTCATCACAGATCATCACTTACACTTTAATTAAAACATCAACAAGTTTCCGCACCATTGGGACAAAAGGAAGGCGAGCCTCTTAAAGTCACGTAAATGATTGATTTGTTTATCGCTGACTAATGAAAAGATAAATGAATTAAGCGTAATACCTGACGAAGTAATTTCCAATCATTTGGTAGACGTTATTGTCATTAGTGTCAAGGATTTTATTCATTTCGGCCTAATGCGGTTAGTATATGTCGGTGGAATTGACTTTCAAGGTCATGTAAGCATAAGTTTTGTTTTGTTTTTCTCAATATTTGCGATGAGTAATTTACAAAATAAATGTAAAATTCTTGGCTTTGATAGAAATGTTTTTGAAAATGATGGTAATTGTTGGTTTGTTGTTAAATAAAGCTATTTTGAGCGACTATCTTCTATCAAACACTGATAGTAAATGAAAAGGGCCCACTTCGCATTTTTGCCGGCAAGGATCCTAGTCATTTCCTCATTTGCGTAACATCCAGATACGTTTTAAATAACAATGATTCACCTCGAAAATTAATTAAGCCTATTTCAAGAAAATTAGTAACACGTACGGACAATTCCACGCCATATTTGGCAAAGGGGCACAATGACTGGCCTAACCTCAAGACAGCACTGCAACCAAACAGGAATACGACTCATAGTTATTTTTATTACGAGATTAACAAAAAGCTTCACTCAAAGGCCTTTTCAGCGCTGTGGTAAGCTAACCATAAGAAGCTTATGCTCCAGCATTACAGAATAGGTAATATTCATTTGAATTGTTAATAATACCCTAACTCATGGCATCTGTCGGATGCTTTTAAGCTTTTAATATTACAATAATTCTTTAAATAGCTTGGACTACTTTGAAGGGTTTGGCAACCGATCGAACTCAGGTTGTCAAATTTTCAGCCCCGTATTTCACATACATCGGCTGACAGAAAGTCAGTGGACTGAGGTCACGTCTGAGGCAAGTCGGTTTCTCTTGTGTCAAGTCATGAATCTACCACAACAAAAATTGAAGGAAAGTTATCTTTGGAATCCACATAACACCGCCCAGTTATTTTCCTTCTAGATTATTATGTCGAAGCTATTCTATTGTCATGCTATATACTTGATGATGAAAGTTTCCTAAAACTTCAGTAGATTTCCCACACCGGCGGACACAGAGGCTCTCGAGCGTGGGTTTTACTTACAGCCCTCTTTCGGACACAGCTTTTTATTACACAATTCCGGTCACTTATGGAAAACATTATCGAAACTCCCCCGTGGTTTTCGCAAGCGAACATTGAATATTGTGTGCATAGCACACCGAAATGTTTCTTAGTGAAGCTCAGTTGACAAAATATCCGATCACCGTGACGAATTCGTCTGGCTGAGGTTCGAAAACCTACAAGGGACTCACAATTTTCTGGTATTACAACAAACATTTGATACCGTCATTCCGTCAAAAGGTATTAGATATTTCACAATTGCTAATCATAAGCAAACAATCTTTTTCCACTGCTCACGTGTAAGTATAGGCGGTAGTCTGGCTTTTACTGAAACCCTTGGGAAACTGTCCCACACGCGCCAAAGTTCAGCTATGTCGAAACTGTCCAGTATAAGGAAAGAGTTTCAAAAGGAAAATAGTAAATTTTGACCACGGCCATTTAATATGAATGTATTAAGAATTTGTAACAACTGGTAGACAGAAAATGTAGATGAAATTGAAATACGTAATTCAAGAACCCGTAAGTAGGGAAGTTTAATAATTTCAATCGATCAACTGCAAAGTCGTGTTCAGAGGCGTTATGGTAATGTCTTATTTAATTTGTGTGGTCAATTACGATTGAGCATTAGAAAACTTCATTTTGGTTCAGCTACAAGAAGAGAAGCGAAATCAGTGTTGGCTTTCAAGGAAAGTAGCGACTTTCAAAATTCCATGTTAATTCTAGCGCTCTTCTCTCAGGAGGAGTTACATTAGCACAAGCCAATCAGAGCATAAGAAACGTCACTAAGAGCCAATGAAAATTCATCGTAAAAACAAGCAAACTGTTTAGAGCATCGTGCGAGTTTTTTTTGGACAAATCACAGTACGAAGTAAAGCAAAAATAATGCAATCTTTGATTACTCTCGATCCTAAATAGATGTAGACTTTGTGAATTTATAGTGACTTCAGAAATGGCTGGGCTACCACCTCGCACGCCCCGAGCATAAAAGTGGTTCTAAAAAATGTTCAAATCGAATTTAAAGGTTTGGTATCAGCCAGCTAAAGCTCTCCACATTTCCTCCTCGGAAATCCACCTTTAATCTTCCGTATATCTTCTTTGTGCCTTCATCTTGACACATGTCTGTTCAGTTAGCGATGAAAAGGAAATAATCATTATAGTGTCCTAATGAAACTGAAGCCGTTCACGTAAATCCATGGTGAGGCGCGGCGGAGGAAAGACGAGGGAGTTTAGATACAGGCATGATCTAAAAAATGGGCATGTTTCACCTCTCCCCTGTCGCTTATTCTGTAAATTCCAGGCTTGCCTGTTTCTCCTCACGCTTTCTTACACTCCTTAGGAAGGAGAAGCACCCCCAGACCTCAAAAAACGAATTTCACTTAGTAAATTACACCTTGAAACCACTTTAAATTTTTTTAACCAATCTAGCCAATTTAATTAGTTGATGGTGCGACAGGACGTAACATCATAATGTATTGATAAAACGCAGCTGAAAGCAAAGTAAGCTAATGATCATTTTTGCAGATGAGCTCTAATTCCAGCAAATATGTTTTATAGCTGTAGCGTGAAAGACTTTCTGGTTCAATTTGATCCGAAGCTCTGACCTCCAGAGACAACGACAGATCATAGATAGCACCACAGCTCAGTTGAGAGATCACTACATGTGACCTACATGTGACCCACATGTGACCTAAGGTCACAGGCTCGAGTCCTGGTGAAATCACTTATGGATGTAATTCAAATTTTTTACCCCCTAATAATAAATGAAACCGACATCGCATCAAGGCTGTCACGACATTTTCAACATTAACTTAATTAGAAAAGAAGCTGTTAGAAAATAGTTCTACACGTCAGACAACACAAGAAAGAAAAAATAAACTGAAAGGTGGATCGACATGGTTTTCAAACGACAGATTTAAATCGGCTCTTTTAGTTTTTCGAGCTGTGCCTACCATTATAATTTAATTCCTTTGTCTAAGATAAGGCGTGGGATTGGAAAGACAATTCTTTCACTATCGAGGGGAATGTTGTAACAGATAAGGCAATAAATATCAAAGCGATCTCCGTAGTAACGAACACTACTCGAGCAGTGGTAAAAAAAAAAAAAAAATCCACGAAAAAAAATTCAGGGGATACACTGTACTGAATACTGAACCCATGACCTCTGCGTTACCGGTGCAGCGCTCTGCAAGTTTAGCTAACAAGCCAACTGGGAGTTGGTCAATGTGATGGTTCGTAATATTTTCACTACAGCTCAAGTTGTATTAGCACTGCCGTATGGGTTTTCACTCGCACTGCCGTCAACATGAGCTTTCGCGAAGTTCTTCGAAGAAATGGTGCGCTCCAGGTTTTGAGAGGGTCTCGAGCAGCAATACCTCGTCTGAAGCTTCCACGGAATTATAATTCTTGGCTCCTCTCGAATAGGTAGTAACATCTTTGCTGACGACGACATTTTGAATGGATGTTAGTGTATGGACATCGGCTGTGTCTGGGATGAGCCCACTGGCACTCCTGCTGACCTTTTTAAGAACAAACTTCCTTGTCTCAGTGCTTATCTTTCTTAAGGGCTTCATACCAGCGCGACCAATCCTTGCAAATCCAGACCTAAATTCTTTGCTTTTCAGAGCATAGATGAACGGATTTAAAACACTGTTGGCGTAGGTGAACAGACGACACATCACAGAAATGTAATGAAACAGTCTGTTCTCCGCACCACGTCCAAAGTCTACCCAAAGCCAGAAGAATTGATTAGGTGACATGCCTATTGCAAATACCACTACAACGATGACGAAAATTTTTGCCAAGTGAATGTTCTGTTCCCTGCGTTTCAATTCGCTTTCTTCTTTGCTTGAAGTCGAGTTGTTGCTGATGGTGTGATGTTGATGTCTATAACTTCTTGTGCTCTCGGAAAAAAGCATTGTCACATTCGAACGTAAGCTTCGATAAATAAGCAGGTATGATACAGACATGGTTGTTAAAGGAAGAGCAAATTGAAACAGAAATAGCACAATGGTATAAACTTGGCTGTAGCCCGGTGGCCAAGTTTCTGTGCACGACTTTGGAGAGCTTTTGTATTGCAAAGTAATGAAATAAGGGATGCATAAAATAGTAGAGAAAACGTGAATTGCCACAACGGTCTTCACAATTCGCATAGATGATGGACGTTCACTCAAAGGCCTCGCAAGAGCTCTAAATCTGTCCAAACTAATAACTGCCAAAGTTAAGGACGATGATGTCGAAAGCGCCGTCTGAAATGGCCACAGAATTTTGCACATCACTCTGCCGAACGGCCACGCTTGGTTAAGCTCTTCCAAAGCCAAATCAAATGGAATGCTTAGAGCGGGTGTGAAGAGGTCGCAAAAAGCCAAATTCAGGACCAGAAGGTTTGGGGTCGTTCTCATTCCTGTGGCTCCAAGGATTACAATGGCCACTAAACTGTTTCCGATGCAACTTAAAATAAAAATTGCAACGTAAAGTGCTATCTTGACAGCATGGAACTCCACGGATTCGGAAGCAATGGCATCGTTATTTCTCCCATCCAGACTGGTATTGTTGATTAACATTTTCAAGCGACGTCTCCTCTAGTCACCAATCTGCCCTCGCCTTTTCCGTGGGAAGCACTTGCCCAGAGTTTGCGTGATTTCAGTGAAATCTGTGATTCAAATCAACACCATACACAATTGGTTTTCATGATGCAAACGTGACCATGGATATGAAAATATACATTTATATTACTCTCTATGTCGAACTCATCAATTGATGATCGAAAGCGTTAATCAGCCATGAACTTAAACTACAAGAAACGCCGCTCGTCGAAGTCATTTGGGAAATTAAAACCACCTTGTATCCATCGTGATAATTCGTGGGAATCCGGCTGGAATTTAAAGATACTACATACAATCTTCTGGCTTAAAATAGCTGGAACAAGAGTAATTGCTAACTGAAAGAGGTTCTAGAACCTTATCCATGTAAAATTGACTTTTTCTGGTGTAGCAGTGGATTGAATTCATCGAGGCCGCGAAATCCAGTAATGCTCTGACCTTTTTAAAGAATTTTTGCGAGAATCGGCGCCCTTCAACGGATCATTTTGGGAAATAAAAACCACGTTATTTCCATAGCGACAATTCATAGGGGTCCTTAAAAAAGCATTATGAAATTTAAAGCGGTTACTTCATACAATCTTCAGCTTTAATGTAGCCACAACACACCCAATTGTAAATTGAAAGAGGCTCTAGAACTATTCATTTAACATGCAATTATAATTTTCTGCAGTGACAGTCAATTGATTTCATTAACGCTGCAAAATCCAGTAATACTCTTACTCTTTTGAGAATTTTGACAAGAATTGCGTCCCATCAAGGTCATTTTGGGAAATCAAAACCACGTTATTTGCATTGCGACAATTCACGGGGGTCCTTAAAAGAGCATTATGAAATCTAAAGATCTTTAATGAAATTTTCCGATTTAAAATAGCTACGGCAATCTTAGTTGCAAGTTGAATGAGGTGAGAACCTAATTCATTTAACATGGACTTGCTCTGCGGTGACAGTACAAGTTGAATTTTTGAAGGCTGCGAAAGCCATTGATGTTCCTACCTTTTTATTTGTAATGAGCATCTGGTAGAAAGAAAAGTGCGAATTTACGGGACATTTGATTCGTGCATATATTCCATTCACTTAAAATTAAAGTAAAGAAGGTAATAAGTAGTGAAAAAACTCTTAAACGAACATTTTGGTTTTAAGTTTAACACTTCTGCTCTCGGATGCAAAAATGAATGAGCAGTATTGAAGTAACACGGACCGTGTGCTCTTTTTTTGTCATGCTCAGCGGAGGTTCAAGTAGATTGGGAGCGTTATAACTGCAAGAATTTAACTAGAATACAAACCTATTAATGAAGCCTTCGCTGAGTTAACTAAATGAAACAATGAATCATTACTTTTTCCCTGCAGTTATTTCATAAAGGAGGGACCGCAGGAAAGAGTTTAGAATGCTCTTAGTGCCCTCTATTAACTATGTACTAACAGAGAGCTAAGGTTGACGGGACATATTTTTTTTTTAGGACTGAAAAGTTTTTGATGGATCGACTCTGTGCTCAAATGGGAGAAACCAGCTATAGTAAATGGTTAAAAAATTAAATTAACGGCAAAGATCAAAGAATCAACATTGAGTCTGTGGCTGTTTCATAGACAAGTTCTGTCCGACAAGTAGTATTTTTCAATTGTCCTTAATTGCAGCCGAACTATCGGCCTTGAAAATTCGTCGGCCCAGGGGCCCGAGGCCTTCAGCGGATATGAGTTTCTGTTCCGGCGTCAAATTTAAAGAGCAAAGGTATTCAACACCCCAGTGGAAGCAGTGTGGAAATTGCTTTTTTTTTTTTTTTTGGAGACTTGTGCAAAAAAAACAACAACAACAACAACAACAAAAAACGGCTCATGCAACCCGGAATGATTTTCCTCGTTTTAGCTGTGTAAAGACTTGTTTTTCCTTTCTTGCCACCAAAATTTTCGGTAGAATTCTTTTCTTGTTACAATATCAGATTGACTAGAAGTTTCGGAGAGTGTAAATAAGCTACAAACACTACAAACCTTAAATATTTCCCTTTAGCGGGATCAAAGCGAGTGGTTCCGATTGGGAAAGATAAAGCCATCTTCCCATTTCTGATGGCCAATCAGAGAGAGGCTTCCTATATTCTGACTTCCTTGCTTCAAAACTTCTTTGTTAAAAACCTTAAGACAGTTTATGTTTACATGTTCATGGCTCAATTGACAAATATTACCACATGTTTTCCTTTCAGCAATATCATGTTCACACCTCAAGCACCAATTTGGTGTTGTTGCCATGCGGTACTTTTCTATTTTACCTCAACGAGATCCACTAGTCATTTTATTTCTGCCACAGAGGACGAGAAAGTCTTCCACGTTTCACATTTTGTTCCACTAAGCGTCGTGAATTCACTATTAGTTTTCAATAACACGATAACTTTTTCCACCCGCTGGGAGAGGTATCTTTATTTAATTGAGCTATCGGACATCTTGGTTGAAGGAATATCATCTAATCATTAGAGTCATTTTTCATTCAGCTAATCAGTTGCAGAGTGATACCCTAGATGTCACTGAAGACCTGTTACCTTTCTAGAAGCCCATGATGCAGATATTTGAAACAGTTTTTCTTGGTCTGATACGACTAAAATGATTTGGACTAGTCAAACCTGCGATATCTTCTAGGACCAAGACAGAGAGTGCAAGCCTTATTTCAAGTATTTGTTTCTTTTTAAAAAAAAAACTGATTTGTGATCATAATAGAATTTTTAAACAGGGAAACTTTGAGAATCATCAATTTTGAATCAATTACTTTGCTAGAATTACAAAAAACTGTGCATTTGTCTGCACCATTGTCTCCCTCCTATTATTTTCTCGCTATTTTCTCCTGGAGCTGCCTGCTTTATCTTCCTTACAAATTTCATTTTGCTAATTTCAGCTTATTAGTTTTTTCATATCTTGACGAGGATCAAGGAAGGAAACCAATCTTTAGACAGCGAACATTACAAAGGAATGCGCATCTGATCCAATATACATTTCGGAATTTCTGAGCGTAAGCTTTGAGTATCGCGCCCAGATACCCGTTCTTTAAAAACTCGCGATATCTGCAGTTTCATCCTCTATCGGAAAGGGTTTCCTTGTCTCTATCGATTCTGCCTTGGGTGATCGAAATCTAGATGGGTCTGTCGTCCATCAAAGATGACACAACTGTCCCAGATGTTAGTTTTTTCATATCATGACGAGGATCAAATAAAGAGGCCAGTCCTTAGACGGCGAACATTGCAAAGAAATTCGCTTCTGGCCTTAGATTTGCTTGGAACGTATAAAACATGTAACCTTGAATCGCCAGTTAACTCGATATGTGGCTCGTTCGACAGCTCGGCTTCTGTCAACTTTGTAAGGGCTGGAGCAGCAGTTTCAATTCAAATCTGACTGAGTTAGTAACTGGAGGAAACTGTAGTTCAAAGCATAAGTTCAAAGCCGGATATTTGATAAAGACAGATCAAAATAGCCTGAGTGTGTTAAAGAATGAAATTCCTTTCTAAAGTTTGGGGAAGAAATTTGGGTGTCTTTTATCGATAACGATAAAGCTTTTCGCATTTTGAATATCCATTATTACCGATCATGATTATCATTATCATTCTTGATGATCTAGTCGTAAATAACCGAGCCGCAAAAGCATAACAATCGACGGCATTAATAGAGCATGTGTCAGATTCTACGGGATTCTAAGAAAACCAGCAGCAGCAGACAAGAAGAGTGTTCCATATTACCGCTAAATAAGAGTCAAGCCATTGGCCTGACGATCGTGTAAGGCTTAAAAAGAGAAGAAATCATTCGTAAGCGATCGCAATTTATGAGCACATTTAGGAAAACGGTAATGATATATCTTCTTCTGATAGTTAGGCTTGTGATATGGCCATAGGCCTAACCCTCCTGGAAAGAACAGGAAATAGTCGCTAGCGGGCGTTCTCAGGTTTTGACATCTGCTGAGTTGATAGTTGATGAAAGGGAAAAAAAATCTGCGGAGCCTATGAAGGCGAATGGATGAGTTGCCAGTAATCGGGTCCCTGCGTTTGCGCAAAGATTTCTGGGATCGTCATGGGGAAAACATTGCATCCCGCTAGAAAGAAATGTAAGGCGAAAGGCAGTTACGATGATAAAAACAACGATTTTTGAGAGAGATCAACGCTTTTTCGCCGCAGTTTTATCATAGATAGATTAAGATGATTTTAATACAAGGTAGGTGTAAGTTTTGGTAGGAATTACCCTGAAATACGTTATAAAATATACCGATAAACTTCTCTCTTTGCGTAAAGGTCTATTGTGAAATCGTCACTGCGTAATGGTCTCGACGTATTACAAAATTAGGCATAAATCGCTGGGAAACAACTCATTTAAGTGACATGTGGCACAATAGAGCCATTAAAACCAACGATCGCCTGTGTTGGAATGCATACAAACTTTTAAGACAGGAAGCTAAGTTAAAAGAGAACTTCGACTTGCTGAAAAAGTTCATGTTCAATCTCAAAATATCGATAGGAAAGGGAACACTAATGGGATTTGGAAAATCATCAATCGTTGTCTGCCCAAGAAACCTAAGACCTTACCAAAAATCAACGGCAATCTGATCAATCTGGCAGATAAATATAACGAA